TCATATTTAAACCGTCTTTTTGCATTTTAATATTCACAGACACTAGTTCATATCGCGATTCGAGTTAAGTGGCAGTGACTACTTTTGATTTTTTCATCCAAAATTGACGAATTCCGTGGCATTCCGCGCTATAGAGTAAATTACGTTTTTATGAATGGACTCCGCGATCCCATCCGCGTTTTCTCAGAAACCATATGGCCCTAGAAATGCAACCACACTTCAGAACATTTCAGCTTGCCCTGTGTGTTGTTTGAACGAGTTGCAGGGTTGACAACACGTCACAGCGTCTCTCTTTCTCTCTCTGTAGCGTATGCACCCAGATGCGTTCTCAGGTACCGAAATTTGGCACCGATTGATTTAACGTGAATCGGTACTCGGTAGTACTGACGCAATTCGGTCGGTACCCTTAAAAGTACCGAGTTCGGTACCCAACCCTAATCAACACATCAATCATGAGCTGCTTTAGATGCTCACAGCGCTTGTCAAGAACATCTGACGACATGGGAATATTAATTAAAACGGCGTACATCATGTTGAGAGCTGTAATCCTAAAGTACTGCATTAGAAAGCCATTAACAAGTTTAAGCAGGTCGCAAGTTTGAAGTATTAAAATTCACAGAGCTCAGACTGCTGCGGTACAAAACTGAGTAATTATATAAAACCACTGGCATTAGAAACATCAACACCGAACATGTCAGAGCACACTGAAAATGCAGGAACCATGAATGTTGCATTTGTAATTTAAGATGCGCGTGTTAGTAGCTCAAAGCTGCCATTGTTTTTTACTCTTTCCTCTTACTCCAGGTGAACGGAGAGATGAACGGCGATAGCGCCATCTCTCAGCCCGAGTATGAGACGCTCACTGCTAAGTTTCACTTTGTGGACCTGGCTGGATCAGAGCGTCTCAAACGCACAGGAGCCACAGGAGAGAGAGCGAGAGAGGGCATCTCTATCAACTGTGGCCTGGTACGTCTGATATTCGAACTATAGGGGCTTTCGCACCGGGTTACTTTGAAGGAACTCAGTTACAGGAAATAACCACTAGGACAGTCCCCTGACAACTACTTTTTCCCCGAGGGCCATTTTCCTGGTTGCATTCTGTCATCTAAAGGTGATGTGCATTACCCTGTTGCTCAAAACACAATATTATGTGTTTTGATGGAATGCCAGACAGAATGCAAGATTCTCTGTGAGTGCAGGATTAATTCCAGTCTGTCATTTGGCTTCAGAAATATACAATTATAAATAGAAATCTTTTGTAACAATATACACTACTGTTCAAAAGTTTGGGGTCAGTACATTTTTCTTTCTTTCTTTCTTTCTTTCTTTCTTAAGACATAATACTTTTATTCAGAAAGGATGTGTTAAATTGATAAAAAGTGATAGTAAAGACTTATATTGTTAGAAAAGATTTCTAATTTGAATAAATGCTGTTCTTTTTAACTGTTTATTCATCAAAGAATCCTGAAAAAAGTATCACATGTTCCAAAAAATATTAAGCAGCAAAAAATGGTTTCAAACACTGATAATAAATCGGCATATTAGAATGATTTCTGAAGGATGATGTGACTAGAGATGTGACTAGACATGCTGAAAATTCAACTTTGCATCGCAGGAATAAATTATATTTAAATGATATTAAAATAGAAAACCATTATTTTAAATTGTAATAATATTTCACAATAATACAGTTTTTTTCTGTATTTTTGATCAAATAAATGCAGCCTTGATGAGCATAAGATTTTCTTAAAGGGGTCATATGATGCAATTTCAATTTTTCCTTTCTCTTTGGAGTGTTACAAGCTCTTGGTGCATAAAGAAGATCTGTAAAGTTGCAAAGACTAAAGTCTCAAATCCAAAGAGATATTCTTTATAAAATTCAGAGTCAGCCACACCCCCCTAAAACGGCTCGTTCTAACACGCCCCCACATATCTACCTCACTATGTGGGAAGATTTGCATAACGCCTCCCAAATGTTCACGCAAAGAAAGAAGGCGTAACTTTTATTCTCGCTGTAGTATTGTTGACGCTGCAGCCATGTCGTGAAGACGCTGTGTGCTTCGTTGTGAAAGCGAAACTTGGTTTTATTTTCGGTCACAATGAAATTCCCATACTTTCATTTGTTACTTCATAGGTTCGATGATTCAATGTTTCCAAACTTTTACTAGCAATGTACTTTTTTTATTTTTATTTTTTAGATCATGACTGAATCGTCATTTTTAAGTTACCAGTCCCTTTAACCATGACTAGATAAACACTTAAGAAAGTTCTCCGATGAGCACTAAGCCAACACCTCAACACAACAAAACTGGCTTCGTCAGGGATTTTCATAGTCCTAGACTTCATTATCATAACTGTGTCGGTTCTTTTAGCTGAGTCAAGTTTATCCATGTTAACTAAGGTGTGAAATTTGTGTTGCATTAGTTCTGCCTCCTTCAAGATTCATTACTGCGCTCTCACTGTCATGCTCAGTAAAGTTGTCCGAGTAGATGAAGGAAAGAAAAGGTAATTATATTGTGAGAGAGTTCTGAAGGAGAGCTAAAGACTGGAAGAGAGCCAAGAAGAGCCATTGTTCAGAGAGCTCAGAGCCCAATAGAGCTCTATTGTTTTTAGAGCCTAGTTACTCATTTGTAAGAGAGCCCATTTAAAGGCTTTTAATCTCAGATAGCAGCATGCGATGGAGCGTGACCGGGTCTCTCTCTCTCTGTGTGTGTTTGGCAGCTGGCTCTGGGTAATGTGATCAGTGCACTGGGAGATCAGAGTAAGAAGGCAGGCCATGTGCCTTACAGAGACTCCAAACTCACACGCCTGCTGCAGGACTCACTGGGAGGAAACAGGTAACGTCTGATACACCTGTATACACAACTAAAAACCAGAAGTGTTGCTTTCTTAGGAACACTGTGTCGTTTTTGGCAGAGCTCCTGTGTGAAGACACACACGTGTGTTTTTGTATCATACTATGTAACTCCCTTTGTTTGAGTTCTATTGTTCTTAAATTAAGCTAATTATAATTACTATAAATTAACCCTAACCCTAATTCCTGACATTTTTGGCTATATGAAAGATATTTAGTACTTTTATGAAGCTATGAAGATTTACAGGTTGTACTGAATATAGCTTTATAGTTGATAGTTTTGGAAGTCCCTTTGACTTCTGTTGTTTTTAGAATATGGTAATTATAAATACTGTACCACACCTTTTACAAGACACCTCTTATACCTGTTTTTGTTATTATATGTGACATAAGACATTGTTCAGTTTCTTTAAGTAGCTTTTATTCCCCACAAAACAGCAAAACTTGACATGCACAGACACATTGTTATGTTGATATATTTTATATTTTGTTAAATTAAAATAATTATATATATTATAGACCATCCCTACTTCTAACCCCACTTCTTTTATTATGATACTTTTATTATGTTATGCTTATCACTTTTATTTACATTATTTTTAAATAAAAAAAAAATATATATTTTTATTCATTTTTAATATTTTTAAATATATTTTTTAATTGTATATGTTTGTTTATTTTCAAAAATGATTTAATAATAATTAAACTCAGTAAATTAACATTAATAAGACCTAATTCAGATTTTAAAAGCCAGGGGGCATAATTAATTTTAAAATAAATTTATTTAATTTATAATTTTGTAAAATAATATTTTATTAATTTGTATTTTTAAATAATTAATCTCAGAAAATTGAATTTACATACAAGTCAGGGGCATGATTTATTGAGATTAAATGATTAATTTTTAAAATAATTAATTTGAGATATTTATTTATTTTATAATTAAAAACCATTTGTATTTTAAATATTAATACTTCAGAATGTACATGCATGAATAAGATTTTTTTTTTTCTTTTTTTTATAGCTTAAAAATATTCATTTGTAGTTTTAAATAATTAATATCAGAAAGTTAACAATAAACTGACAGGGCTAATTACTTCAGAATGTACATACAAGTAAGGGGTACTTTATACTATATATACTATATAAATATATATATATATTTATTTTATTTTATATACACACACACACACACACAGTGGGTATAGAAAATAATTTATTTACTCAGTGCAACTTAGAACATTGTAACAACTTAACTTTATCTAGAAAGCTTAAAGTTCTATCGTTGTAGAGGCAGTTTCATACATACACACTTTGTTTAGAAGTCTCGGATTGTCCTTGCAAGTTCACACACTTGTAAACGTTCCTGTGCACAGTGCAGTCATTGTGCCTTGAAGGTTAATGCATGCTAACAGTGCACTGCATCAGCGCTGGGCCACTCAGCCCACAGTGGACGGCACAGGCTACCCATATATTCTTATGATGTGGGTTCAGAGGGGGAGTTGATTGAATTAAACATGAGGGACTGCAGACAGAGGCGCTCCTTAAAGACATTCAATCCCAGCCGCATCCACAAAAATATGCGGGCAGCGTGTGCAGTCTATGAAAGCGTGTTTGTGTTTATGTGTCATCTGTTTGTGAGTTTTATCTTTCTGCCATGTGTGTGTGTTTCTGAAGGATCTCATAGACCCTTATGAATTCCTGTCCTTTTGCATTCTCATCTGCTTTGTATCCGTCTAGTCGGACCGTGATGATTGCCTGCGTGAGCCCCTCTGACCGTGACTTCATGGAGACCCTGAACACACTGAAGTACGCCAATCGGGCTCGCAACATCAAGAACAAAGTGATCGTGAACCAGGACAAAACCAGCCAGCAGATCAGCGCCTTACGAGCGGAGATCGCACGCCTGCAGATGGAGATCATGGAGTACAAAGCGGTAAGGAGAAGGACCTGGAGGGTCGTGGGATTCTGGGAAGAGTTAGTCTCCAGCAGGCATCTTTTCCCACCAACAAAAACCCGCAAATGGACAATTCACCCCAAAATGAAGTGTGTGTCATCATTTACTCACCCCCATATCATAACATTTTCTTCTGTGGAAAAAAGAGAGATGTTTTGTAGAATATCCTGGATGTTCATTTCAAAACAATGAGAGTGAATGGGGACTGGAGCTATCGAGCTCCTAATATTGCTTAAAAAAAGCACACAAACATATTTCATACTACTTGTGCACTGTATTCCAAATGTTCTGATGCCATACAATACATTTGTATGAGGAACAGACCAAAACAAGTCATTATTATCTAAAAATCTCCACCAACACAATCTCTTGACAAAAGTATCTTTACAAATATTTTTAAGAATTTCTACTTTAGGTGGAGATGTTTTATCTACAAATTGTACGAATTCAAAGGATCTTACTAGACGTCTGATTTGAAGGTTCGGATGAATTAGTACAATCTTTTTCATATGCTTTTGGACAATCTACTCACACACCTCTTGAGGATTGGGATCACCTTTGTGATGACTTTTTACCATTATAGAATCAAATTCATATGATCCTACACAAAGATGTACGATTTGTATGTAAAAAGTCATCATGAATTGGTTGCGAATTAGTATCAACTCTTATGCACATTTACTCACACACCTCTTGGGTTTAGTTTTAGGGGTAGGGTTACGGGTTGACCTTCATGTTGACATTTTAATCCTACACATTTTGAGGGATGGGGTTAGGGTTGGACCTCCGTGGTGACTTTTTACCTATAAATCATACAAATTCATATGATCTCTTTTGCACATTTTGTATGATCTGCTCTAGAGCTGTGCAATTAATCGAAATACAGTTTCGATTTCGATTTCGGCCTCCAACTATTATAAAAATACAATAATCGAGATAAAATGATTATTGCACCCCATTCAGGCGGTGCGCTTTCGCTCCTCCATAAAAGCCCAATTTCACATGCAAATCAGTAAAATCATGTAACATGGCTTTTGCAAAATGGGACGTGCTTGATTTATCAAAGTTGATCAGATTTATTCATGTTTTTAAAAGCATGAAAGAGCACTTGCGCTGTTCCTCAGGAGGCTTTCTGTGCATGCGCTCAGAGACGGAACGGAACACTGATATGTAAAGTCATCTTTTAGCTTAAGGTGTTTAAAAGCATGAAAGAGCACTTGCGCTGTTCCTCAGGAGGCTTTCTGTGCATGCGCTCAGAGACGGAACGGAACACGGATATGTAAAGTCAACTTTTAGCTTAAGGTGTGCGCCTAAACGGTCAAATACACACAAAAATGTGTCAAAATGCGGTGCTTGGTGATTATTCACATAAACCCTCGTCGGTTATGTAATAAGTGAACGTAAACAGTTTTAGAATGAAAATGCATGCATTGGATCCGTGCGACTCTTAAAGTGCCAGCTGGCTAATATTCCTGCTGCTGACTGTGTGCTTAATATTAATCGAAACAAAAGACAAAGACAAAATCACTCACTGCTCTTGACTGAAGGACTTTTGTAGCTTTAATAAGAAACAAAGGAAGTTTACTTCTTACAGTGAAGACTGCCATTTTATTTTACATTCAAATATTTAACTTCTGTAGTAGGCTGTTAGCTGAATAATTTAGACTTGCACTGTTTGTTTCATTTGAAGCTTTTTTTCTATTGTATTTGTCCTTTGCTTTTTTTATTACATTACTGACTGTTTAAAGGGGTCATATGATGTTGCTAAAAAATAACATTATTTTGTGTATTTGGTGTAATGCAATGTGTTTATGCGGTTTAAGGTTCAAAAAACACATTATTTTCCACATACTGTACATTATTGTTGCTACATCTATGCCCCGCCTTTCTGAAACACGTCGTTTTTTTACAAAGCTCATCGTTCTGAAAAGCGAGGTGTGCTCTGATTGGCCAGCTATCCAGTGCGTAGTGATTTCCGGCCGAATTCCTTGTGACGGAAATGTTACGCCCCTTACCATATTGTGATGCCGTGTTTTGGAGCGACGAGACAAAAACATTAAAACCCATTATAAACGAGGCATTTGTTGCATCCAGTGGGGACATAATTACTGATTATAATGACTTAAGGCCCGTTCACACCAAGGACGATAACTATAAAGATAACGATAACGATATAGTTCTAAAAATTGTTCTCAATATTAAAGAATAGCAGAGTCCACACCACAACTATGACTTCAGTCTTTCTTATCTATTCACGAACAGCTTGTAACACTCCAAAGAGAAAGGAAAACTTGAAATCGCATAATATGACCCCTTTAATTATTTTCAATAATTTGAGGACTTTTTTGTTGTTTTTTTTTACTAATATTAGTTACCCTAGTATTCTGCTGTGGTATTGAGAATTGTGAAATTTCTCTAAATCTCTAAATGTCTCTAAAATGTAAATGTCATAGCAACCTTATATACAGAAAATATATATTTGATATCGCTATCTTTAAATAAACCATTCATATAACATTTTGGTCATGTGGCCCACTCATAATCGTGTTAAATAATCGTGATTACAATATTGACCAAAATAATCGTGATTAGGATTTTTTCCATATTTGAGCTGCCCTAATCTGCTCACACACCTTCTGAGGGTTAGCTTCAGGGGTGGACATTCATAGTGACGTTTTATCTACAATTCATACAAATTCATAGGATCATACTCGAAGACGTCCAGTTTGTAGGTAAAATGTCACCCTCTATATTGTATGATTTTGTACGATCCAGTCACACTCCTCTTGAGGGATGGGGTTGGGTCGGACCTTCATGGTGACTTTTTACCCACAAATCGTACAAATTCATTTGATCTAAGTCGAAGTTGTACAATTTTTACGTAAAACCTCATCATTCATAAAATATTTACAAATTCTCTGATATTAGGAGGATATCATATGGGCTTGGAATGATGACAGACTTTTCATTTTTGGGCGAATCTGAAAGACAGAAGTACCAGCTCACTTGAGTTATCAGGATAGCAGATATATGACACATGCCAGAATGTTCTACACAGCGGGAACCAGTTTACAGTGACAGAACTGACTTGTCAAGATATCTTATTACTTGTTTATTTTACTACAGAGGCAACAATTTGAGCTTACATTGAAGCATCAAACTGCTAAACACTTCCTCTATTACTAAATAAAATAGAGGACTTAAAGTAGATAGTGAGTCATCTTCTTTCATTCCTACACTTGCTCTTTCTCCTCTTTCCTTCAATGCCACCCAGTTGGCGCTCTAGCTGTTTATGTAATGAGTCCAGAGGATGAGAAAGCCTGTGCGGTGGGCTTGTGGGGCATGATAACATGGTTCAGCTCATGGGATCTCGCTGGAGCTAATGAAGCGTAGCTGCAGATTAGCTCCTCGGCCTGACCTGGATGATAAACGGCCGCCGGAAGAAGTTAGCGATTAGCCGTGATGGCTTTGAGAGAGTTGAGACGTCCTGACAGAGAGACCGAGCATGGAAGGATTGGGGGATTGTTGCTTGGGTTGAATGGGGTCAGCGCCTAGTTATCCGTTTCTCACACCCTGTGTCCGAAAGTGCTCCCTATACCCTTAAATAGGGCGCTTTTTGAGGGGACAGCCATTTTTAGTGGTGTCCGAAACCTTAGTGGACATTGAGTGCACTCATTCAATCCCACAATGCACAGCAATAACGAGTGTACAACTGGTGAATGCTCAGTGGCTAGAGAATACCCATAATGCACTGTGAGAGTCGCACACCCGAATGAATTGCCTTGTCTCACCAGAAGATGGCGCCCACAGCTGAATCGTCCATCCATAATTTTTTTAATTTCCATGACAGAGTTTAAGATATTTCCTTTCATCTTACTGGAGCTGCCAGTTTCAAATGATTATTAAACAGCAAGCACAAACTATGCAAAAGCGGCAGTTCTTCCGGTGCATTCAGTGTATGAATTCACTCACTCGTTTTCATTGACTCCTTCAAGTGAACTGTATTAGTGGCCTAATGTAGGGAATAGTGAATGAGGGTATAGGAGCAATTTCGGATTCAGCCACGGTCTTTGGGTTTCTTTCAGGGGAAGCGAGTGGCCTGTGAAGATGGATCCGACGGTTTTAGCGATCTGTTTCAGGAGAACTCTATGCTGCAAAAAGAGAATGACACTCTACGTATGCGGGTCAAAGCCATGCAGGAAACCATCGACCACCTCAACACTCGAGTCACCCAGCTTCTCACCAATGGAGTCAACCTGCTGCTCACCAAGACTGGTGAGAGACCTCTAGTGGTTGGACAGGGGATTACCATTGAATTATATGTAGATAGTAGGACTGGGTGATATTTACTATATATTCAGCGTAATTTTGTTGTTGATATAAATGTTACATGAATGCCATGCAAAGTACTGCAGTGCCTAAACTTAATAGCTTCTTTAGTGGGATATTAGATAGTTATTAAACTCTGTGCTAGCTATATTAAACTGCATTGTATGTCTTGTTTTATTTTCAGATGATTCTTGCATTAAGACATTAAAAATAGAGAATTATATTAAATATTAAACAGAAATATTATGAAATAACTGATTAACTAAATTTTACTGCTGAAGTGGCTGCAATTTTGAGTCTTTTCAGCATGAGGTTGCAGAAGTCAGGAGGTTGAAACTATGAGATCTACTGTATTAGAAGCAGGCTTTTTAAAAGTCGATAAGTGGGGTAATGAACACATCTCAGAAGTAATTACTTATTATTATTATTATTATATTACAAGTAATCATATAAAAATATGTTGGTAAATATATTTGCTATATTAGTATATATATATATATATATATATATATATATACAGTGGGTACGATGAATTAGCTATAATAATTAGCAGTAGCAAATTCCCAAACTATCACAGTGTATTAGTTAACCTGCGTGTTACCAAGTTTAATTAACTAGTTTAGTTGGCCACTGAAAGTCTGTATCCATTATTTTATTATTTCTTGGGAATGTAATGTTTCTACTTCTCTTGGAAAATTGTTTTATTCTGTTAATGCCCTTGAAAAGGTTTTTCCAAAAATTCTTTAGTTTCAAACTTTAAATTTTAATTACTCAAATATAGTTTTCATCATGAAAATAGTCAAGGAAGCTGGCATGGTGTTAAAAAACGAACAAACAAACATCAATACTTCTTGTCATTTCATTATTGCTGAATAAATCTGTCACTCTTTGAACAGGTGAAACGAACGAGGAGATTGGCAATCTAATCCAGAACTACATTCGAGAAATCGAAGAGCTGAGGTAACATGATGTTCTCTTGTCATTAGTTAACGCGTGATTAATCTCAACTTAATCGTACATTTTTATCTGCCCTAAATGTATCTTAAATTAATACTTTTCACATTTTTAATACTCTAATCAACATGGGCATGGACAAATATGGATGCTGTTCTACTCATGACACAATTTCTCATCAAAGCAATAGAAAAGAGTGACTCATCTGTCTGTCTCTCAGGTCTAAGCTGCTGGAGAGTGAGGCCATGAACGAGTCTCTGAGGCGCAGTTTGTCTCGCCTCTCCGCCCGCTCTCCATACCCAGCCTCCCACCCGTCTACTCCAGCACTCCCTCTCGGCTCCTCCCCCTCTGTTTCCATGGATGCAGAGATGACAGATGTGATTCGTCAAGCCAAATTAGATGTGGAGAGGCTGAAGAAGAAAGAGACAAATCAGAGGAGGAAGAGGTGAGGTCTGAGGAGCATGTTTGTTTGTTTATTGATTTTATTTTATTTATGAATGTATTTATTTATGCATTTATGTATTTATTTATTTTATTATTTTATTTATTTTTTATAGATTATTTATTTATTCATTTACTTTATTTTTGTATGCATTTATTAATTTTTATTTTATTCTTTTGATTCTTTATTTTTATTTTATTAACTTTTCTTTCATGCATTTTTATATTATTATTTTATGCTTATATTATATTTTTGTACTATTTGATATTATTTATTATTTAATGTTTTTATTCTTTTAATGCATTATTTATTCTCTTATGTATAATTTATTTTTAGTTTTATTCTTTTATATATTTATTTATTTTATTCTTGTATTCTCTTTTTTTTCCCCCATTTATTTATTCTGCTAAAATTTTCTTGAAAAATGATTTAAAAATTTTTATACTTCATTTTCATGTTGAGGGAAATTATGGAAGATCCGAAAAATATTGATTGATTTTCACTTATGAAAATTTCTTTTTGAACGTTTTAAGGTCACATCTAAAATTAAATGATATTGTCAGACTACAATATCCACAGCATGTACGAATTCATTAATGCTATTAAATATGTAGTTAAATAAGTGATTAAATCGGAGACCCTGCTCCAGGTGGTCTTGACACTTCTTGTCTATGTGTCTGGCAGTCTCCTCTGATGTTAGCAGAGGTCTCGGAACATGTTCCACTGATTGTGTATTTGGAAGACTTTAATATGCTTGTCCTCTCCTGTTTTATGTTATTGAGCCAATAAGAGGCTGTAAAATGTGCCAGAATTAGATTTATCTCTGTTTGTGCCAGGATGTCCTGACCAACTCAAACTAAGGACAGCAAGCTGGCACAGATACAAGTATCTCTCAGTAAATTGTCCGCTATAATGAATATGACTACAGGAGTGTCCCGCTCTTCACGGGAGAGAGGCCATGGGTAATTTGTGAACCCAACATTACACTGGAAGTCTCAGCTGACCTGCAAATGCTAAAAAGCAGAAGACCCAGGATAAATCTCTCCACTGCATGAGTCCCCGTGGTGCGATTACATGACTATTAAATGTTTGCATCAGATATTGGTGGAATTGTGGCCCGGTCCCTTATTTTTTTGTGTGCAAACTCCTGTGTGAGATTGTGTGATGAATGTCCAATTGATTGCATCAGTGCTGTATTTATGCATGTATTTGTCTATAGGAAATTTAATAATAGTTTGTCTCATTTTTAGTCCTGAGAAAGAAAAAGGTCTGAAGAAGAGAGCCAAGCTTTATTCTCAGGAAAATGGAGAAAAGAGTGAGAACGGGTTGAGCAGGGAAAACGAAGAGAGACGAGAAAATGGAGATGGAGACTCTGATAATGAACCTGAAGGGGTGAGAGAAAAGAGTTTTATAACAACTGGTCTGCTGGTTACAAAGATTTGAGATGGATTTAAAAAAAAGTCATATATTCTGAGGAAAAAGTTTGAGAATGAATTTGAAATGTTCATGAGTCAAAACTTTGCAAGAATAAAGTGTGAATAAATATGAGTATAAAGAAGAAATTATGTGAATAAAGTTGTATATTATATAAATTACACATTGCAGACAGTGATTAATAAAAATAAAATTCCAAAATGACAAGAATCAAGTCTTAATTAAGTCTTAAAATTGCAACATTGCAAGAATAACATTTTACAGCAGTGACGTTTTAATATGAGAGAAAAAAACAATGTTGCAATAAAGTTTTGTTTGCTATTTTTTATGAATATAAAATTATTTTGAGGAAAAATTAAGTTTAAAGAATAAAATCTTATTGCAGGAAAAATGCCATAAAGTAGTAATTAAGCTGTGCTGCATAAATTAAGTGATTGCAAGAATACATTTCTAATAAGTCTTAATATTAAAAAGAAAAAAAGGTTATATGGTACTGTTTTATAAGAATAAAATAATACAATTGCAGAAATAAAGTTGTTATATAGCACATAAAAACACTGATGGATGACATGGCACAATTATATAAAAACATTATTATTATTTTTTTATTGTATGTATGAAAGAAGGTCTTAAGGTTTGATGTCCTTCACCCTGTGCAGGATGGCATGTATCCTCTTCAGGAGGACGATCACGGCTGTGATGAGGAGGAGGAGGAGGAGGAGGAGGAGGAAGAGGAGACCAGGGAGGAGGAAGAGTTCGACAGCGATGAGAGCCTGGTGGATTCCGACTCTGACTCAGACGAGAAAGGTGCATTCGGAGATGCGTTTATTAGGGCTGTCAAATTGGCCGAAAAACAAAATTCTAATTTTGTACTAAAATATTATCAATAATCGAATTTAAAAGGCATAATTTATGTTAGGGGCAAAAAAGCTTTTGGCTTCTCTCCTGAGGCCACAAGAGGGCACATCGAGCAAAATATTACTAATGCACGTTTCTTCA